TTGTAGTCAGGGAATCCCAGTCCTTAGAAGACTCAAGGCACAGGGTAACTCACCAGTAAGGGTCTGCCCAAGATAATTCCACTTGAAAAGGGACAGCTTTGTTGCCATTTTTCATAGGTTCCTTGAGATATCTTTAAAGTAAGAAGTTTCAAAATTGAATTAAAATGATGTTCAGAAACTATACAGGTAGAGTGCTCCATACCCGCTTTCACCTGTGTGGGCCCAGGCACCATTCCAGCTGCTCTATCTAAGGAATGAGCCTGATTGTGTATCTGATACTTTTTTTTTTTCTTACTGATTTAAATGTACAGAGAGAGAGAGAGATAAACATATATAAAGAAATACAAAGATATAAAATGACGGGAACTCAGAGTGCTTTCATTAGAGCATGAGCAAAAGGTGAGAAACATGGTATATTCAAGTCCAGGTAGATCAATGTAATTAGAACTAAAGGCAGTTTGAAAAGGGCAGAACTTTGGAAAAAAGCAGGCAGCTGCCAGAACAAATCATTGCAAATTTTCTTGGTAAAATATCTTAACCTTTTTTTAGTATACATTTACTGAGCACATACTACTTGCCTCAAGACTGCCCTTGAGAACCTTGCAGTCTATTGCATGGGGAGAATATGCAGTAATTAGATTCTTGGCTGAGGCTGCCCTCATTTTTTCCTCTTTCTCTACCTGCACAGCCTTCTGAAAATGCTTGTTCCAATACTGAAGGGGAAATAATTAAAATGATCCTGGATTGAGGAGTTTAGTTCCCAGGTTAGTAAACAAGGACATTGAAGGACAATTGGCTCTGGCATATATAAATGAAAGGCTGGTGATGTGGGGGACGTCAATATATGGTTATATCTTATAAATATAGTAATTGAAAGATTTTCAAAGCCTCTTATTGAAACCCTGGGGTTTTGTGTCTTCATTCAATGAAAAGAGCTGTCGGTTCTCTCAGGCAGCTGCAATGTTAATGTGATAGGAAACTCAGCTTAATGACACAGTGCGTGGGAAAAAACCCAGCCCCTCAGTTGAATTTATTGGAAATCAGAGGCTTTCAAACTTATAGTCTTATATTTAAAACAACTGGCTAATTAAGCAGTTTAACCACTGGTAATTTAACCAAAAGTTTTCATTTAAGGGGGAAAATGGTTAATTTAACAGTGATTTGAACTAGCGTTTTAATTAACCAGCTGCTCTAATTATAAGAATTGCCCCAAACTGAGTGTGAAAATGCTGCCTTGCCAAGGAATTCCAGTAGAAAAAGGCTGAGGCAAGCATTTAAAGCACTTCTGAGATAAGGAGCTCTGGTAGCACAGTGTTTAAAGCACTCAGCTGCTAACCAAAAGGTCAGTGGTTTGAACCCACCAGTCACTCAGGTAGAAAGATGAAGCAGTCTGCTTCTGTAAAGATTTATAGCCTTGGAAACCCCGTTGTTGTTGTTATGTGTCGTCAACTCAGACCTGACGCACAGCGACCCCTCCTTGGGTTTCTGAGGCAGTATCACTACAGAAGTAGATTGTCCCATCTTTCTTCTGAGGAGTGGCTGGTGGGTTTGAACCACCAGCTTTCTGGTTAGCAGTCAAGTGCCTTAGGCACTACGCTACCAGAGCTCCCTAGCGTTCTATGAGTCAGAATCAACTCGATGGCAGCAGGCTTCAAGTTTTTGGCTTTAACTAAGATGTGTGGTCATCTCAAAGATCAGTTTTGGTTCTGGTGTTTGAAGCCATTGAATTTCTGTGTATTAAAGTTGGTGATTGACATGTGAGATTTATTTACACAAAATGTTTTCCTATCTAATGGAGACATGGAAGAGCATAACTGTGAAGGAAATTCTTGATAATCTTTGTATGTGAAGGGCCAAAGAAGAGTTTCACAGATATAGTCACATTTGAGGTTGCCCCAGAGGCTCTGATGGATTTCACCAGTCAGAGAGGTGCAGTCTCAGCAGGAGGAGCAGCCTAGCAAGGCACAGAGGCATGAAAACTGCTGTTGTTGTGGTTGTTGTTTGCCGTCGAGTCAGCCCCGACTCATAGCGACCCCTCCTTGGTTTCCGAGGCAGTATCACTACGGAAGTAGGATTGCCCAACCTTCCTTCCGAGGAGTGGCTGGTGGGTTTGAACTACCTGCCTTCTGGTTAGCAGTCAAGTGCCTTAGCCACTATGCTACCAGAGCTCGGTTGATATAAAATAGCCAGTGTAACTATGTGGCTGGGGAGCAGAGTTTTAAAGGCCTAGAGGAACCAGATTATAAAAGTCCTTAGATGCTTACCTGAGGAGTTTAAGCTTTGAGCAGAGAAAACCATCAAACATTTTAAATATGGCAGAGACCTCTCTCTTATTCATTGTTGTCTCAGCAGTATGTTAGATGAATAAATAGCTGAATTACATACATCAGACTATATAATTTCTCTGTTCAAGATGAAATGCTGACTCACCACTCATGTCTCGGGTGCCCTCTGTACCCCTCTTATTTTGCTTCGGCTACACTAACAGTCTTTCTCTTCCTTGAATATGCCATGTCCCTGGGTAGTACAAACAATGTGCTGAATTGCTAACCTAAAGGGTGGCAGTTCTAACATACCCAGCAGTACCATGAAAGAGAGGCCTGGTGACCAGTTTCTATTAACATGACAGCCAAGAAAAGTAAACTCTATGGAGCTATAAATATAACTAATGGGGTAAAATTATGATAACTTCTTAGCCACAGCAAACCACCCTGAGGAAGTGAGTTTTTGGACCTCCAGGCTCGGGACCATGGTTATGGGGAGACATCAAGTTTAATTGGCATAACATACAACACAAAAACATTGTTCTACATCTTGCTTTGGTGAGCAACAACTAGAGTGTTAAAAGCTTGCAAGCGGCCATCTAGATACAACAATTGGTCTCTCCTTGTCCACAGCAAAGAAGAATGAAGAAAACCAAAGACACGTGGAAACAATTAGTCCAAGGGACTAGTGGGTCATGTGAACCTCAGCCTATATGCCCATGGGACCATAAGAACTAGATGGTGCCCAGCTGCCACTCTCAACCACTTGGAAAGGGATCAGTGCAGGAGATTCTGGATACCGTGGGAGAAAAATGTAGAACAAAACTCAAAAGCATAAAAAAGAACAGGCTTACTGGTCTGATAGAGAATAGTGAAATCCTGAGACGTTGGCCCCTAGTCATCCTTCAGGTCTGGAGTTGAACTCATTCCCCTGGCTTTCTGCCAAACAATAAAGCAAAAAACTAAACGCACTGCCATAGAGTTGATTCTGACCCCCATTGGGTTTCCAAGGCTGTAAATCTTTACGGATGTAGATTGCCTCATCTTCTTCCTGCAGAGCAGCTGGTGGGTTTGAACCACCACTTCTACTTAGTAGCCAAATGCCTCATCCACTATGCCAAATAGGCATATAAAGTGAACATTTACACCAGGTAGGTACACTCCTTAGAAGAGTCAATCATGGGAGATCAGAAAGGCAGTATTTGCACAGGGAGACAGCTTAGAGAGCAGGAATGCATAGGAAAGGACAGGGAAAAGGTAACCATAGGGAGGAAGTGGGAAGAGAGGTGTTAAATTATGAGGATTGTAATCGATAGCATGAAGCAAAATGTGTATGAACTCCTGTATGGAAAATGAATTTGCTCTGTAAACTTTTACCCAAATCACAATAAAGCAAAACAAAATAAAATCCTATGGAGCATTTCTACTCTGTAACGTATGGGGTTGCCATGAGTCAGAATTGACTCAACAGCAATGGATTGTTATTTTAGTTTGTTCCACATTAGGACCTTTGTATACACTGTTGGCCTGTCAGTGCCCAAAGTGGGGTGACACTATGCCCTGTGTGGGGTAGCGATAGGGAGGGGTATGGGTGAAACAAATGCAGCTGAATAGGTTCAGAAAAGGTAAAAGCTGTATTTCTGAAAGTATGTTCTGTTGGCCTGGAGCATTCATCCTCCTTTTTTTTTTTTTTTCCTTTTTATCCAAAAAACTCCTAGTTGTCTTTCAGATCTCAATTTTATTTAAATTTTAAAATAGATAGTACATGAACATGAAACAAAATTGAAGGGATACAAGAGTATAAAGTAAAAAGTAAGTCTCTTCCTCCTGTCTTCTAGCTACTTACGCCCCTCCCTGGAGATAACCACTACTACTATTTCTGTTTCTGTAAGAAAATCCTATGGAACTCAGTTCTACTCTGTAACACATGGAGTCATCATACGACTTGGAATTGACTCAATGGCCATGGGTTTGGTTTTTTGGGGGGAAGGATGCACATGCAATGGAGCCCTGGTGGCACAGTGGTTAAGTGCTTGGTTGCTAACCAAAGGTCAGAAGTTTGAACCCACTAGCCACTCTGGGAGAAAGATGTGGTAGTCTGCTTATGTAAAGATTACAGCCTTGGAAATCCTATGGAACAGGTCTACTCTGACAAGTCACTATGAGGCAGAATTTAATTGACAGCAGTAAGGTTTTTTTTTTTTTTTGGTTTTATACACATGCATCCTTCTGTATCTTAAATTTCTGTTATTGTTTATTTAAGCTATGTCATAGATTGTTCCATATCAGCAAAACAGATTAAATGAGTTGGTTTTTAAAACTTTCTGGAACTCTTTCTTCTTCGCTGGTTATTTTTGTCCCGTCTCTTTCTCTATATAGTCTCCATTAGAAAACTTCAAAAGGGCTGTTACCTGTTGAGGAAGGAGAGGAGAGGAGAGCCCTCTGCAAATATAAAATATTTTATCCTCCATCTGCCAGTGGTCTAACAGGAGAGAATTTCTCAAAGAAGGATGGTTGGTGGGATTGACTATATCCTGGGTGCCAAAAGGAGAGAAAAAAGGGGTAAACTGAGAATCAACCCAGAATCAAGAAATATCTATAGTTCTTCAAACCAACGAGATACCCTCTACTTCCAAATATTCCCAGTCCTATAGTGAATAATTTGTTTCTTTATGTAGGATCTGCCTGTCCCTGGAAGAGCTTAGAAACAATTTGGTCTTATTTTCTCTTTTTTAGGTGGCTTTCTGTTGAGTACCAGTCGGCACTACAAAACAAAGCCCACTCATGGCATTGGAAGATACAAGCACCTAATTGCAGCACAAGAGGTAAGGGGAGAGGTGCCTTTAGAAAAAGGATAGTGGGCAGTTTTTGCAAAGACATGAAATCAGCTATATATTGGTTGAGTAGAAAGGACAGGAGTGTCTCTTCAGTCCATCTAGACTAGAGATAATACTACCAGTTTCCAATCTTGTCCCTTGGCCAGGTTATCACAGAGAAAAACAAATGGGTTGGTTTTACTATTTGTGATAATTTTTAATCTCTTCTTACTACTTTGTACAATAAGGACCTCAGAGTCCTTATGATAAATTGAGTTGAGTTGAATGATTGGTTTGTGTCAAGGAGTGGGAAAATAACATCTTTAGCCAAATAGCTGATTTTTATAATTTTTTCAGATTCAAAATATATGTGATATCCTTGAACTTGTTATCACAGATAGCTAAGAGTTAGTTCTAAGAATTATAAGAATATTTAGATCATTTCTCTGGCTGCCGCTTCATAATTGCTTCTGTAGTGGTTAGGTTTCTGTGCGTGTTCAGAGGGTTTTGTGATGGAGTCGACACCACATTGCCCTGAAAATTAGAAGATCTGGTTTTGAGTCTTGATTCCACTTCCTATAAACAGTACAGTTAGGAAGATTTGCTGTTCTACTTGGGGGGACTTCAACATCACTTTTGTTTCTTTGGCTTATGTTAATGCTCCCACTCAATGGTGTACATCTCCCATTACCTCTCTTTCCATGGCAGAGGTCTAACACCACTGTATTTGAGCTATAGAAACCACTAAACTTGTCATTTTCTTCTGAGCATCATCATAATATCAAGGAATTTCATGAGAGAAACACTGCCAGGTCAGAGGAAACAGATACCCTATTAAAACTACTCCTTTGTAGTGGGAAGAGAACTGAAGTGGAAACCAGGAAACTTATGTTCTAGCTTTGTTCTACCACTTCTCAGCTTAATGACTTAGGGTAAGTTAACCTTACCTCTGTAGGTATGGTTGGCCCCGAAATTATATGTAAAATGTTTTCTGTGTATGAATTTTTCTGAGAAGAAACTATACCTTTTATCAGACTTTTCAGAAAGGCTGAGAAATCTTGGACTAGAATATCTTTAAGAGTCCGTTAGGTCTGATATCATACAACTCTTTGATGCTATGAAACATTTATTGAACAGCTATTATGTGCTGGGTACTGTTGGGGATGCCTTGTCTATTCAGAGTAGGTTGTAGTAAATCCTGTAGAATGAATGAAAAGAATTCATTCATGTTCTTAGGGAGCAAGTGAACCAGTAGAGGAAATAAGACACAGATAATTATGCTGCCAGGCAGAAAGTGACAAGTGCTAAAGGAAAGGTACAGAATGGTATTAAAATTCAAGAGTGATTTACACCCTTTTTGAGTGTGACACAGAGTGAGTTGCTGGAGTTGTTTTATTTTGGGACATCTCCCTTCTCCTAAAAGTCCCACATAAATTAGCAGGAAATAAAATTAGTTTTGTTTTTCATTTTTATTTTTTAATATTTTGGTATCCTCCCTCTAAGATAATTTTCTGCATATGCCATGCTCCGACCCACTGCTTAGCTTGATATAAAAGGCAGCATAATGCCATCTGTCTCCATCTTTCTCTCGAAACTCTTCATCCATCTCATGGAAACCACACTTTAGCTGCACTGGTCCTTATGCTTTCATCCAAATCCTCATGTTGTTTCAAGTCTTCTCACATGTCTTCTGTCTACTTGGAAGAGCTTCTTCCCTTCTCTAGTTGGATACCTCCTCCTCAACCTTTAAACTCCACTGAGGAAGCAGGATGAAGAGGGACAAGAATGAATCTCCCCTTCTGAGAAGCCTCCCTGGACCTCCCAGACTAGGTTACTTGCCTAGGAGCTCTGGTGGCATGATGGTTAAAGCATTCAGCTGCTCACTAAAAGGTCCACAGTTTGAACCCACTAGCCACTCCATGGGAGAAAAGATGAGGCGGTATGCTTCTGTAAAGATTTACAGCTTTGGAAACCCTATGGAGGCAGTTCTACTCTGCCCTTTAGGGTTACTATGAGAAGGAGCTCTGGTAGCATAGTGCCTGAGGCACTTGACTGCTAACCAGAAGGCTGGCGGTTCAAACCCACCAGCCACTCCTCTGAAGGATGGTTGGGCAGTCTACTTCTGTAGTGATACCACCTTGGAAACCCAAGGAGGGGTCGCTATGAGTCCAGTCCAACTCAATAGCAAAACAACAAAAACAGCAACATGAGTTGGAATCAACTTGATGGCAATGGGTTTTGATTTTTGGGTTGCTTGCTCTACCATGAGTTGCCACAGTTCCTTGTGCTTCCTTTGGCACAGGACTTACCACTCTGTTTTGATGACAATCTTCCCTTCTAGATTGTGAGCTCCATAAGGACAGAGGGCCTGTCTCATTTTTCTCCGAATCCTCAGTGTCCAGCATCAAGAGTCACAAGACTGAGTGTAGAACCTTTGGAAGGAAGAATGAAGGGATTATATCAGCAGAAAGGCGGCAAGAACTGGTCATGCAGTAGAATTAATTTTTGTTGGTGCCAGGGCCTGGCATCAAGTAGAGAGCTGTAAACATTGATTGAGCTGAACTGAAATGTAACTGTTGGGCTGCCTGAGGCTTTGCAAATCAGAGCTGGCAAACACAACTGCATTGTTTGTAAACAGCTGGCTCCAGATGACTTTGGTTGCTTGAGGGGAGAGATACTCCCTTTGGTTAGGGCTGTAGGCTTCTTTTTTTTTTAAAAAAAGTTATTCAGTGCCTGGGGTGGCTAAAGCAGTAGTGCTGGTTATTGGTGGAAGCTGCTTTTGATGCCTTCATTCTTACAAGGAGCAACACAATGAAAGTACTAATCTGTCAGTTTACGGAGGCTCTGTCTCAAGTCCAGCTCTCTTTACTGCCCTGGGGAACTGGACTGGATAAGGTAAAAGGAATCTTGTGACCTCCTTTCTTTCTTGCCCTAAGCCTAGAGCCTAGAAAACAATTAGCTGCCAGATTTCCATTTCTTCCTCTCTGGGTCTCAGTCAGGCCTGTGTGCTCTCTTGAGCCCAAAAGAAAATTAATTCTACTGCATGACCAGTTCTTGCCCCATTTCTTCTGGTATAATCCCTTCATTCTTCCTTCCAAAGGTTCTACATTCAGTCTTGTGACTCTTGAACTTTGGGAAGTAAAGGGGCATCCACCTCATCTCAGCTTTCCTTGTGAATCCTTGTTTTATCTCCTTATTGCTTTCATGGCCTGGTTTATGCATCTAAGTTGGTTCCCATCTCTCCATCCTATGCCCAGTCTTTGATGCTTCTCTGAGGAGGACTTAAAAGGGGAGGTGAGCATGACACTTCCCCTTGGGTAGCAGCATCAGGGATGACAACAAATTGTGGTATTCCAGGCTCTTCACAATGTGGGCCCAGCTTCTTCTGATTTCCCTTTTTGCACCCTATGTTTCAGGCACATTTTCCCGAGCACCCGCTCTCTCATGATGCCATGCTTTGCACGTGCTCTTTCCTCTGCATAGGATGATGCTTATCTTCTACTCTATAGTTCCCATCCTGCAAGACCCAGCTTGACTCATGGCATTAAGAGATCACATTTCTCAGCATGTCTCAGACCTAGCACTGTGTCTGTAGATCTCATTATTCCCTCAAGGGCCCTGCACCGTTCTGTTGAATTTAAAAGGCTTCAGATTTTTTTTTTTTTTTTTTGAGTGACTTATAGTTGATAAACTCACTGCTGTCGAGTTGATTCGACTCATAGCGACCCCTCCTTGGGTTTCCAAAGCGATACCTCTATCGAAGTAGATTGCCCAACCTTCCTTCTGAGGAGTGGCTAGTGAGTTTGAACTGCCAGCCTTCTGGTTAGCAGTCAAATAATAATAATAATCCTTCATATTTGTATAGTGCTAGGCCAGTTTTCCTAAGATTACTTTCTTATTTACCTTTAGCTGTCCAGCCTCCATTCTTGAACTAATAGCAACCCAAGAATCAGAGGATTGCCAGGGGGAAAATGTGGGAGGACAAAATAGAGGCAGCATAAATGGCTGTCAATTTTTAGTTGTTATATATTTTTCTAGGCTCTGGGGTAAGTGTGTAAGGTGTGTCTTTTGTAACTCAGACAATTTCCTCCTCCTAATTGAATGATCCTAGGAATTAAGATTCCCTTGAAAACTTCATGCTGACATAGAAGAAATGATCGTCATTTTTGACACCTAGTTATTTTGTTGTAGCATCCATATATAGATCAGCATTTACAGTGTCTGTGAGGAGACTGTGGCACCATTCCCAGAAAAGTCAACATGTCAGAATCACTTTATAGTGACAGTCGTAGCTTGTAGGGTGCAGAAAGATCGGTTTTGCTGGTCTAGTAAGGCTAGACACAGCTCATAGGACTAGTTTAGGGGAAGTTGTTTTATACTAGCGTCAGTGTATTCCCTCAAGTCTATTTCTCATAAATCACTGAAGAGAAGATTTGTCATTGAGTATCTACTAGGTGCCAGAACCTATACGGAGCTCCTGTGATGCTCAGGTGAATGTGACACAATCTCTTCCTACAAAAGCTTACAATCTGCTGGGAAAGATAATACGTAAAGATGTGACTAGAAAAATATCCCCTGAAGTTTTCTTTGAACCACTAATAGTTTAGTTTAATTTGTAAAGAATGTCTTCTTTGAACATTGTGCTCTTTTAAGAACTATTTAACTGTGTGAAATCAGATTGACAACAAGTCAAAAGGTTAGTTAGGAACCTTAGGTAGCAGTGAGTTTATGTTAATAGGGGAGGAACAATTCAGAAAAGGGGAATGAGAAAGGTTGCACAACTTGAAGACTGTAATCAATGTCACTGTATTGTACATGTACAAATTGTTGAATTGGTGTGTATTTTCTTAACAAAAACAAAAATAAATTTTTAAAAAATGTAACCAGATACATTGTGATAAGTCTTTACTAGGGGAGTGAACTTACAAGAGAACAAAGATAACTAGCAATTCTTGAAAGGGTCAGTTAAGGTGTCACAGAATTCAGCTCAATAAATATTTATTAAATACCACCTGTATGTGTGGTCCTGGGCACGTAAGGTTCAATAGGACACTCTTTTAGGAGTATCAGGAGCTCTCGTGGTGTAGTGGGTAAGACATCCAGCTGCTAATCAGAAGGTCAGTGGTTCAAACCCACCAGCCACTCCGTGGGAGGAAGATGAGGCAATCTACTTCCATAAAGATTTACAGCCTTTGAAACCCAATGGGGGTCAGTATGAGTCAGAGTCAACTCGCTGGCAGTGTGTTTGTTTTTTAGGAGTATCAGCTGCTTGGGTAGCTGCTAACATTGAGGTTGTAAAGAATATAAATAATTTTTCAGGGATATTTTAGGCACAAGGAGTAACTCCTATGAAGACTTGACTCTGCCACCTGGTCTCTAACCCACCAGAAGTCTTACTCTGTTTCACCTGTTCTTCTAAATGACAGCTGTGTCACATTTATTGAAGGATTCATATTAGATATGAATAATAGTGATGATCCATTTCCATTTTCAAAGTGCTTTCACATCCATTATCTCAGAGCATCTGAAACCACTTCCTTGGAATGCTGAACCCCTCCTCAAGCTGAATAATGACAGTCTTTGTCAAATTTTAGAAAAGCATTAAGTTAACAGATAGAATTTTCTAAGTCTCAGGTTTATTTCCCATCAGTTTTACTTGATGAAAACAAGTAGTAAGAGAGAAACTTACATATACTTTCATGTTTTATGAGATGCAGAGAACCCCATGTATATAGCTACTACTGCTACTCACTGCCGTCAAGTCAGATCCAACTTACAGCAATCCCTCCTTGGGTTTCCAAGGCAGTATCACCACGGAAGTAGATTGCCCAGTCTTCCTTCCAAGGAGTGGCTGGTGGGTTTGAACCGCTAGACTTCTGGTTAGCAGTCAAGTGCCTTAGGCACTATGCCACCAGAGCTCCTCCATGTATATAGTATAACCATATTTTCTGCTGTAAAGTCGTTCATGTTGTATATGATGAAAATATATTAATGAGAATATTTCTTGATGTTTCACAAAGGGAAACAGGATTATTTAGGCTATTTGCAACTAGAATAAATTTGAAAACCATGCTTTTGATTCACCAACAATGCTGTGAGGTAAGCAGGGTAGAAAAGGAAATAGATCTAGGAGCATAAGTGATATCTCCACAACCATATAGCCAGTAAATGACAAAACCAGAAACAGAATTCAATTCAACTCAGCAAAAAGGTATCAAGACTTAATATTGCTGTGCTGTAAGGATACAGATATTCTGTATTTGGCACAGTGGTTAAGCGCTGGGCTGCTAACTGAAAGGTTGGTAGTTCGAATCCATGAACCACTCCTTGGGATAAGGATGTGGCAGTTTGCTTCCATGAAGATTACAGCCTTGGAAACCCTATAGGGAAGTTATACCCTGCCCTGTGGGGTCACTATGGGTCAGAATCAACTCGCAGTCTAGAGGCTAAATACATGGCAAGCATATCAGCCTTTTTGTTTGAAGAGTAGGGCGACACGATCCTTCTCAACTTTTCCATCCTGGAGAATATTCCCTTTGGTGACAGGTAGGCACTATTACTTTAGCAGGAGTGAGAAGAGAGAACCTAGCTTAGAGGCCAAAATTACCTTTGGCATTTCCTTACTACTGTAACCTTAAACAAGTAATTTCTTCTTTCTGGGCCTCAACTTCCTCCTTGTGTAAAATTAGGGAGGACTGGGAGGATAAAGTAAATGGTCTCTAAGATCCTGAACAAATTTGTTTTAGAAGAAGTACAATCAGAATGCTCCTGAGAATGGAGGATGTTAAGGCTTCAATCTCATGTGGCTTGGACATGTTATCAGGAGGGACCAGGCCCTGGAGAAGAACATCATGCATGGTAATGTGGAGAGTCAGTGAAAAAGAGGAAGTCCCTCACCAAGATGGATTGACAGTGGCTGCAACAGTGGGCTCAGACAAAGCAACGATCGTGAGGGTAGCACAGGACAAGGCAGTGTTTCGTTCTGTCGTACACAGGGTCACTATGAAGAGTTCTGGCATTTTCCCTACTTAGACAAAGCCTCCTACAGGCTTCAGAGAAGCTCCTCTCCTTTGTGCTGGAAAATTTCAGCCACTCCCAGCATTCTGGACTTGAGAATTCTTCACAGCTTTAACTGCAGTGCTGACTGTCATGATGAGAAGTCCTGATTGCATTTGGCTAATGGTGTGGTGGGCTCTGTAGAAGAGACAGCCATGTTTTGATGGCTGGTCTTTAGAGATTGGCTTTCATTTACAGCATCCTGGGGTGTCCACCTCTTTTAACATGTTAATATTGCAGGAACTGCAGTGGAAAAATCCCCACATTGGTTGTCAGGAGGTTTGGATTTTAGTTGCTGAAATCTATCCTGTCTGGCTATGTGACTCTAGGGGATGTTTGAATATCTTTGGACTTCATATTCTTTAATGCAAACAAAGAGAAATGGGACTAAATCATCTTTAAATTCCTTCCTGTTGTAAAATTGTAAAATTCATACGTCAGGCCCTGTGCTACAGTAATCCGACCAGTTGCTGTCAAGTCGACTTTGACTGATGGCAACTCCCTGAGGTCAGAGTAGGACTGTGTTCCATAAGATTTTCAATGGCAGATTTTTTTAGAAATAGATCACTAGGCCTTTCTTCTAAGGTGCATCTGGACTAGATGTGCAGAATATAAAAATGAAAATGGTAAAACCATAAATGACAGTTCAGATTTATTTTGTATTTATATATGTGACACAGACTGTATTATCCACATTACATAAGGTATTTTGTTCAATTTTCAAAATATCTCTGTGAGATAAGGTCTGTCATCAGTATACTTGCTCCTTCCCCCTATTTCCCCAAATGGGGCCTCTGCTCCCTTAAGTTGACCTGGAGAGCAGCTATGTGAGAAAACCGTTCCAGATGCTCTGCTAAGAACAGCTCTACTGGGCTTAGGTAGGGGTAACTTAAGACATGTAAGTAGAGAGAGATTTTTTTTTTTAAGAAAAATATTTCTGCTAAGTAGCACAGGAGTCTCAGGGTGGTACAGATAGTTAACACAGTTAGTTGCTAACTAAGAGATTGGAGGTTTGAGTCTGCCCGGAGGAATCTCTGAGGAAAGGCCTGGCGACTTACTCACATGGGTTGGCATGGACTGAAGCAGCACTTTGTATGAAAGGGAAAGAAAGAAAGAAAATAATTTGTTCTGCCTTTCAATTCTCAAAGGAGGGCTATATAATTGCAGAATTTCAGAGCTAGAAGGTCTGAAAGAGAACTAATTCTGTGCTGCCTAGCTGTTAATTTCTGTAAGATTCTGATGGAAGCTAAGGATTCTCTCCTTAGAAAAATGTGCATAAGTATAATTTTGGGAGTTCACAGATGACTTGAAATCTGCCCATGGATTCCATGTTGAGAAGCTTTGATTTAGCATAACCCCATCATTTTACAACTAGGAAGGCCAGAAATGGAGGATGAGTCTCATAGCAAGTTAATAGCAGAAAGTCACATATATTTGTGTTAAAGTAATGCCAACAGTATTCTCTCGCTTTTCATTGGCTAATACCACAGCCTAGACCAGTCTTTCTTAAGAGAATGTCAGTTTATAGATAGGGTGGCCAGAGAGCAAATTTGTTTGTTTGAAAGATAGTTTTTTTCTTTATATCGAGATAATATGATTAGAATTTCTAATAGAATGCCTTAATTTATTTTCTTTCTCTTTTTATTTGTTTTCTGTTCAGCTTAAGAAGAAGAGGGGAAAAGTGGAAGTGAGACCCATTAATTTGGGGACAGATTATGAGTATGGTGTTTTAAACATTCAAGTGACTGCATATGACATGGCCCTGGCAGAGAGTTATGCCAAGTATGTTCACAACCTTTGCAACGATCTCTCCATTAAAGTTGAGGAAAGGTATGAAGGGTGTCTTTCCATGGAATGTTCTTGGCATAAGGTAGTATGCTTTTTTTTTTTTCTCTCAGGTTTTTAAGATATAATTTACATTTCTTTTAGGTATATAGTTGCAAAACCGGCAAGGAGGCCACATGTTCTGACCTTCTCTAATCCCACAAGGGGAAGACAGGATTACCAGCAGTAACCCAAGGCCTATTCCTGCCAGGCCAGACATGTTGCCTCCCTCCAGCCCTTTCTTCAACCATTCCTCCCAGAGCACCCACCACCTCTCTCCTGGGTTCGATAATTCGCTG